TATTCTCCTTAGATTTATTTTGTAGGATCACTATTTATTTTCTTTTAATAAAATGAGCATTTATTTCCTTATATATGATCATTTCATTACATTGCATTAAAAAAAAAAAAAAAAATCCATGTCGAATTAAGCACAAGGTATACCAATTATTTGAGGCACCCCTTGTAGCCACATCATATCTCCTTTCACCTTGCAAATCTATAATCCTTTCTTCATAAACCACTTTGAGCCTCGTCTAACGATAGACCCCTCATTTTTTCAACCTACATCTACCTAACCTTGGGATGGGATGGTGTGTAACTTATGCAATTCTAAAAAGCTTGAGTGATTTCAAAAGATCAAAATTAAAATAGCAAAAATAAGAAAAAAATAAATAAATAAAGTGTACAAAAGGGCAAGTGTTCCAATGTCTTTGATATGAAAATATCTTCGATAGGAACACGTCTCAAATTGCGTCTCTTATCGAGGGCTCGGTACCGTGCCTGAGAAACATGAATGCCAAGTGAGTAATAGACCGCATGATCGGGATTTCCCACACTTATAAAAATAAAATAAATGCTAAAGCAAAAAAAAAAAAAAAAAAAAAAAAAAAAAAAAAAAAAAAAAAAAGAAGAGAGCTAAAAAAGAGTAGAAACTCAAGCATAAAAATAAAGATTTCAAAAGCAAGGTTGCACACCTTGGGGGATTATCTAGGGTCTTGAGACTTTATCCCTTTTTTCTATAACCTTTAGCCTAACCACGTTGCAACCCTTAAAAGACCTTTTTGAGGTATACATACTTGTGCGAGGTTCGGCTAGAGCTACGTCCGGCCTGATTCCTAACGGATACGTAGGCAACCTCACATCGAGGTGCGGTCGTAATAAACATGCATTCATATTCATATTCACACACTGGCACCATGATCATATCAAGGGATTTCCTATGCTCATCCCTATTCACCTAGAGCTAGACTTGGGGGCTTGATCCCTATATCATTAGCTTACCTAGCCTAAGAGTCACCATTATTTGACTCTTCTAATAATAATATTTTTCCACACACTTAGCCTTTGCGGCCTAACTTTAGTGTCACTATCACACACATCACAGATACATGACCAAATATACCTTCCATTAGGAACCCTTTGTCATGAAATCTTAACACAACATTGAAGCATGCCTTGTCATATCAACATCACTCATCATTGCATCACAAAGTACGAAGTGCGTAGCCTCCGTGCCTTAGTTACCCAAATACTTTCATCGTGGAGTCAACAATTGAGAAAGCCTAGGATGGATTAATCCTTGCACCTTGAGAGATAGTATCAAACAACATTTGACTAAGCTCATTCCACATGCATCTTCAAATTTTCGATTTTCTTTTTCACGTCTTTCTTTTTCAGGAGAAAGTCGGTACCCTCCACAAAAATGACGGAAATTTTTTGCTTTTTTGCATTTTCGAGTAGCATAGTCAACACTATGCACACACGGGTCACGAGTCACACGTGTCATTTTACTTCGAGTCGAGTCAACCTCGAGTCAATCAATCACAGAGAATCAAGTTTATACCTTAAGTCGTGTCAAGTCAATGAGTCAAGCAACGCTAAACCTTAGTTCAACCCTAAGATAATTAAAAAGATTGGAAAAGTTCTATAGTCAAAATAAATACAGGTGCAGCAGAACAGGGAAGACCCTACTCCAGCGCCTGGCGCTAGATCGTTTTAGTAGCGACAGAGCTCGAAGCCTCTCAGAAAGGTAATTTCGACCTCATACAACAATTTCGGGTTCCTTGGTACGCCAGTTAGCCCCTATAAGCAATTTGACATGATTAAGTAGTCGGTTTGATTGTCTTCATCAAGTGGCAAATTTTCCTGAAATAGATTGTCGGTCGACTCTTTTTTGCAAATGTTCCAAGACGCGGATTGTCAATAGTGGCAATATTTCCCCCAAAGGATTGTCGCATAGCGTTGGCAAATTTCCAAGGTGGATTGCTTTCAAGAGTTATATTCCAAGATGTGGATTGTCGATTGTAGCAAAATTCTTATGACAGATTGTTACGAAGCATTGACAACTTTTCCAAAAATTGGATTTTGGCAAATTTTCCGAGATACAGATTGTCGCTTCATCGTGGCAACATTTCCAAGGATGGATTGTTACGTGGCATTGATAACTTTCCCTAAATCGGATTGTCATACATCATACAAGGGTTGTGTTGGCAACTATTCCCAAATAAAAGAGGATTGTCAACATACTGATTCACAAGCAGCAGAGCGCCGACGTACTGGCATAACAACATTAAAGATTAAAAAGCAGTGATCTTTTCGAAGACTATCACAGCGGAAATTGGAGTCATATCAAAAAGAAGCTCTTTGTTCAGAGACGCGTGAACATATCAAAAGGAAGCTCTTTGTTCAGAGACGAGTGAACATCGAAACAACAAGGTGGCGTTCCCTAGATTGTGGAGAGTTGTCACAAACAAATGAGGATTGTTTCAAGAGAAGCAATCTTCGATAGTATTCCTTTGGACGTGGAATACTATCATAGCGGAGGAGGATCGTTTCAGGCAAAGAAATCTTCTAATTTGGAAGCATTTACGGGCATAGCGGTTTTCAAGCGAGATGGCATTCTCTAGCTTGCAGGAGGTCATCAAAATAATCGGTTACTTTAAGAGACGTGTGCTCGACGGTGCAAGATAAGCGTTTCTTAACTCTTTTATCTGTTTAACTAACGCTAGTTTTGCAGGTATCGGCGTTACAAGAATGATTTAGGATCGCAGAACGTTCTGAATCATTCTCCGTCCCTATCGATACTTCAACTTTCGTTTTCGAAACTTGCGTTTCTCCAAACTCAGTCAAAGTGAGGGCTTTTGTAGACACCCATTTGTGTCTCCCCAAAACCAAACCCAGTGATGAGTACCTTTCACGTCGAATCATAATCGAAGGAAGTGAAAGTGTGGAAAGTCTAGTGTTGCGGATAGTTTTAATTTATTTTCTCTTCTTTCTGTTTTTGAAAACTTATTTTAAGAAAACAGCCAATCCAGTTTGGTTGGTCCATGATATGGGTCCAATATTAGTGTAGTTGTATGGGGCTTGACAAGAGCTTTCCAACGATATATTATAAGCCCAATTCCGATGAGTATTGAGGAAGTTATGGCATATTTACTAAACTGGGCCCGGTTTGAGCCTTATGTGCTGCCCAATGATCTAGGGGAGGGCCTAATATGATTTATCATTCCTAATGTAATTAGGAATGGTTTTAGTGTTCTATATTCTTCTAGAAGGTTCTTTTCATTCCTAATTCAATTAGCATTGATAAATTGACTTTTGTCGACTTTTCAAAATTTTAATCAAAATCAAATAGCATTTTCGAGGAAAAGATACGATTTAATCCTCCAGTACGGCAAACTTATCTGATTTTTGAAAACGCGTCAAAAACAGGCCTGGCGCCTGATTCCAGGCATTGGCGCCTGGTGCTAGCCATTGGCGTCTGGCGCCAATAAGCTGATGCTGGCGCCAACTCTGTTTTGCGTGCGCCAACCTCGTTTTGCGTGCGCCAAGTGCTTTGTTTTGATATTTTATTTTTTTTGGCTAATTTTCTCTATAAATAATGTCGTAAAAACTCCGTTTTTCTCACCAATTCTCATCATTCACGAGTTCTCATCTACAATCAATTTTCATTCATTAATTCTCTCATTCCTATAATCATTCATCTCTTTCTCTAAACCTTGTTTTCATATACAAAATTCCGCATTCGCAAGATCTAGAAACACCTAGCCATATTCGAAGTTGCCTTCGCCCTAGACGTGAAAGGTTTAATTTCTGAGGGTTTGGTCCCAAAATCTCTCTTTCAATTATTTTATTAAATTGTTTTGTTTATTATTTTCCTTGAAGTTACTAACGTGTGTATTTTGTTATTAGAAAGAGGTACGAGGCACCCAAGTAAGTGCTTTAATTGATTAATTGATATTATGATATAGAATTCATGTTTATATTGTTATTATGATATTCCTAGTATCATGTTTAGGGAAAAGGTTATAATATCAAATATGCTTATTATGATTCCTGCGATGCTTCTTATGTTCTTCCTAATATTTATTCATGTTAGTATCATGTTAGGGTTAAAGATTTGATTTTTATTGTTTAGTGACATGTTAGGGTTTGTTATTAATCTTGTTAGTATCATGCCTAGCATCTTGCTACTATTATGTTTTAATATTAACATGAACATGATTATGATTATAATTGTTATAATTTGTGATGATTATGAATATTATTATTATTATTATTGTGATGATGATTATTTTTATTGTTATTATAATTATAATTATTGTTATGATTTTATTATTATGTTGCTTGATAGTTATTATTTATTTATTGCTTGATCACACCTTTTATGTATGTTAAAGGGAATTGGTACTTGTAATCACACTTAATAAGATAATTAATAATCTTGTTTAAGGTTAATTTGATTATAATTTGAAGTGATCGCCAATAATAGATTTATTTGTGCATTAAATTCAACCAACATAGATAAACAGGTTTAGAGTTAATCCTATTGATTGCATGTTAATTAAAAAGCGCACATGAATATGATCAGAAAAAAGTAGAGGCCTATTATTAGGGCAGGTTCAATCTCTTTTAGGTTGGATTTGTACCTTCATCCCCGAACCCTTATTTGGTTCTAGACCTTATGGAGTTGACGATCTCATGGATCGTTAAGGGGTGTAACCTTCACCTCGTGAACGGTTTACAAGTTCCTAAAAAAACTTGTTGGCGACTCTTTTGCTCTATCTTCTTCCCTTTTGGACGCCACCGTACTTTAGTGTATGATCACAGTGGGGTTCAAGCATGGGGTTAACGCTTGAATTATTCCCTACAGGCCCTAAGCGATTTTGGGCCCTGTGCGGTTGCGCATGCCGCACACCCTAAGGGTCGGCCCTGCATCTAAGCCCTACTTTTTAGTGTTTAGAGGGCCACAAGGGCGGAGATGAGAATCGAACTCGAGATTGCCTGAAATCGGAAGGTAGCTGTAACCATTTGAGTTATCCCTCACTTTCACATTTGAGCCCTATAAATTACACAATCAAATTATCGGACCGTGCTATTGGCTCTATTCTCATAAACATAACTATTAACTACTCCCTCCGCCTTTAAAAGGTTCCTCTATAGACTAAAAATGGAGTAATCAATTTCAAATTCAAAAATCAGTTGAAACACAAAGGCTAAAAGACAGCCAAAAAAAAAAAAAAAAAAAAAAGCAGAAAAGTGTATATGAATTATGAGGTTTACACGTCTTAAACTTGAAGCCTTGCCACATATAAAAAACGTGATTACATCAAATTCCAAGTAAAAGTGAAGAACAACCTCTTAAAACTGAAGTTGCTGGTACAGGTAGCACGCTTATTTGATTTTGTCCCAATAGTTTCTTCACTCGTGAACCCCTTGTTGATATCCTGTTCTTCTTTGAGATGCCGAAAGATACGGATCTTGGATTATATGGATGCATTATACAACTATTTTGCGGTCCAACCTGCATATGATGAGACAAACAGGTCAATTACTAATCAAAAGACCGATTATGAGATACGTAAGACTTGAGATCCGTTCATTCAAGAATTATAGCGACGGGGATTTAAACCTGTAACCTAATAAGTACAAAGTCTATTTCTATGAAAAAAGTTTAGAAAGCATACACAAAATTAAAAGGGTATATTTCATTCATTTAGTTGCTTCATAGTATGAGCAAGAAAGGTTAGATACATTTTTTTTTTGAGATACATAAACCTAAGGTTCAATCCCCAAAAGAAAAAAGGTTTTAAAAAAAAAGAGGGATTATTGATTAGTTTAAATTTTTTTTTTTTGTTCTACCAAATTAACATTGACAAAAAGGGTTTTAACTCCCACCCTCCCGTTTCTATTAGTAGTAGTGTTACACTGTTACATGAAGCAAACAAGAAAAAGTTTCTAAATAGGTACTCGAAGAGCTTGAGGCATGGCATCATGGGACGAGATTGGCAATGACTCGAATTTGCAATCAAGGTTGAAGAACTGGTTGGCATCAGCATTGGTGATAATAGCTTGGATGAGTGACAATAGAACTCGTTCGAATTCAGCCCCGTCGGTCCATTCATGGATTTTGGATTTGATAAGCTTCGGATTGTTTGAGATTAAATCCCAAACAGGGAAGTCTTTCCTTGGCATAAGATAGTCACTTTCTCTAAGTCTTAAAGAAGGGCAATAATCTCCAATTCCATCTCCTAAATAGATGAATTTCTTGTTTCCATGCTCACATAGTAGCCTTTTAATCACTAGGCCCTGCAATTGGTTACAATAGTACAAATAAATAACTACATAACTATAAACATGTACTAATAATACATTGAACTAATATTAATGATATAATGAATTTAGAGATTTATAGAAATCATGGTATTATTGCTTTCACATGATGATTCATGTTACTCATTAAGTCATTAGTCATTTAGTCATTACCCTCCAATCCTCCATATGGAAACACAATATTGAGTATGATAATGTCTAGGAGATAACTAAAATAAATTAAAAAAAAAAAAAAAAAAAAAACCCAAAGCTACCTTTGGCAAAAAAAATAAAAATAAAAATAAAAATATAGTAACAAAAATACAAAAGATTGTATGTGGTTAGGTTTTCTCCACTTGTTAGACCATATGTGGTTAGGTTTTCCTCCAACGTGATATGTGGTTAGATTTTTTTCCAAAGTGGACTACGTATAGAGTACACGTACTTCGTACTAAGAACCAATAAAATTGACTAATCACGAACAACAATTAACTTAAATTAACTTAATATTTTTTTTAATAAAAAACCTATAAAATTGACTAATCACGAAAAACAATTCAATAGACCAAATTCGTATTAGAGTTTCTTGTGAGAAGAGTCTCCTAATATTTTGTGTTACCTTTAAACTTTTCAAATTTCCACCCCAGCCCCACCTACACAGAAAAAATTACTTGTAAATAAATTAATTAAAAATTTACCTTGCACATGTTAGGAGGGCAGGGGTTGCAACATCCATGAGGAGACTTGGTAAAATCATGGTGTGGTAAAATCCTTAATCTTCCTTCTTCATCAACATAACCCGGATTTGTGTTAATCTCCGAGAAATAATCACTCAACCCAAGATGATCCAATATTGTTTCAATGAAGAATGTATTTGCATCACTCACTATCCTCAATTCACACCTGTTTCATTAATTAAATTTTATTAAATTAAATCCCAAAAATTATTGGGTAATTTAAAATGTAATTTTAAATAACACCCAGAAAATAAAAAATAAAAAAATATCAAATTAATTTTTTTACATACCCTGCATCATGAGCAGCTTTAATCGCTGGTACTATTTGAGGATGAATTGGAGTTCTTTTCAATACTTCAACAATATCATAAATCGTTACTCCTTTTTCATGCATTTCCTTCATCAATGTATCCTGCAAAAAATATTAAATTCAGAATTAATTAAATATAAAAAATAAAAAAAAAAACAAAAAAAAAACAGAGGAAAACAGAGGATTCAAAAAACAGAGTATAAAAAACAGAGGATTAAAACTAAAAACAGAGGAACTAACCATCATAGAATTCCAAGGCATGGAATTAAGGAGTTGATTGAAAGAATTTGTAAAACCCAATTCATCAACAACCCAATTGTCACTATCACAATCAATAATTGTTTTATCAAAATCAAAAACAACAATTATTCCTTCCATTCTTGAGAATTTTGAAAGAAGAAAGTTGGGATTTTTTTTTCTTTTAATTTGGTGAAATGGGTCTAAATTTGGTTGAGTACTAAACTAGAAGTATAGTGGGTATTTATAGTTTGAAGAACAAGAATAGTTTGATACCAAGGAATATTACGTTTTTGTGCGTGTTTGTAAGGCGAGCCATTAAAGACTCCAGCTTTCTAGGTTTACAAAATTAATTAATATCACGTTTTTTTTTTGTTAATCTAGTATTTTCTGGTACATCTTTTTGATGCCGCGGATCAATTTTATTGAGGGTTTTTTAGCCGTTGGATGAGGTGGACCTATTGAATCTAAGGGTTTTTATTTAATTAATTTTAAGTGGCCTTGTAGTCTCTCGAAAAAAAAATGTTGGTTTTAGTCTTTTAGACTTTTAGTGGATTCTAATCGATAATCCCTTTTTTTTTAAACCTTTTTTTATTATAATCTAATAATTTTTTTTTGAATAAAATTATAATCTAATAATTTTTTTGAATAAAATTATAATATTTTTATAATATTATAAATTATATTATAATCTAAAATATTTAAGCAGTTTAATTAAATAAAAACCCTTAGATTCAATAAGCAGTTTAATCTAAAATTTTGAAGAATTATAATCTAATAATTTTTTTGAATAAAATTATAATTCAATTTGTACGTTTGAAATATTGGTATTTATCGAAAATAAAATTCTAAAATAACAATTTTATCGTAAAACTCTATCCAAATAAAATTTTAAACTAACCTTTTTTTTTTAATCGCCTATTTAAATCTATCCAACCCGGCGTGACACTACTTGGCGAAATGTTGGAACACCAAGTGTCACTGCCTTGTGACCTAGGTAAAAGTTTATTTTTATATATTAGTTATATGATTTAAAGGCCTGTTCTGCTTCAGTTTAATTCTAATTTTAGTTCACCTCACCTCACCTCAGTTCAGTTAATAAGAATAGACCCTAAATCCTGAAAGAAATAGAAGGGGATACAAGGGAATATACTTGAGGATTTGGACGTGGCATGTCTTACTTTGAATTGCACCTTACCAAATTACGTACAAATTAATCTTCAAAAATAGAATATTCTTTAGGTTTCTCCATGAGATAGAAGGATGGTTATTGCCTGCCGTTTTACAGTTGGTATTTAAGTTTTAGCGTTTCTATGTGTTCTCACTTCTCACTACCACCAAAGGTTTAATACTTTTTTTTTTTCCCTAATACTCCTTTTGTTTTTGACAAAACAATATTCACCCTTTTCAATTTCAAACTTGAGGAGAACATTGTTTTATTCTTTGGCGTTTGGCCCTTTTTTTTATTTTTTGGGAATCATACTATGGATTTTGCTTCTGTAGCATATGCCAATAAGGTTTCTATTACTTTGTGGCAAACTGGCAATAGTCCCCATGTTTAATTGTGGTTACATTATAATAAAGTACGAGTATAATGTATTTTAAAATTATAATAGAAAATTGTCAATGTGGTAGGTCTAATAATAATAATAATAATAATAATAATAATAATAAATAATAATAATAATAATAATAAAACTAGTAAAAATTCCGATTACAAATATGATAATAATCTTATGAGCAAAGAACAAAAAAGAATTAGCGGGGGTATATATTCATACCTACTTTACCATCTAACAAGTTTTACGCACAATATGCCATATTAGAGTAAATGCTGAGTACTTTTTCCACTATTAATAGTTTTTTGTAATGTTGTTCATGTTCTTGAAAAAAAAAAGCAAAATTATCCTTAATAGCACCAACTATAGGTTAGGTATTTGGGTGCAATGAATAGCACAATATTAATGGGGTGTAATCTTTTTTTTTTTTTTTTTTTTGAAACCTCTCTCAAAGGGAACTTATATTAATAAATCATTAGAAACAAAAGGAGAAATACAACTCGGAACATCGTTAACCCACACTCTTCGCCCCAACTCCCAAGGTTGGTAGTGAGCTAAAGTATGCGCTACTTTATTACCACTACACTTAACAAAAGACCAAGAAATAAAATCAAAACTAGAACATAAACTCAAAACATCATCTAAAATTAAATGGAAATTACTCTGTCCCTTCGAGCCCTTACGCAAAGCTTGAATCAGCTGCAAACAGTCACTTTCCACCACCACATTCTTGAAACCCATCTCAATCGCCCAGTTCATACCCAAAACAATTACCTTAGCTTCTGCAATTTTTGCTTCCCAAGTCTCCTTGCACTGGTACGCTGCACACCCAAGCACATTGCCTTCACAGTCTCTCGCAACAGCCCCAAAACCAGAACCCACATCCCCCAACAAACCTGCATCAACATTCAGCTTAATACATCCCAATTCAGGCCTAGTCCAGCTCACGGGGTGGCTCACAACTTGCTGCCCCTGAATCTGCCCACTCCCACCTCCTCCCTCCCTCACTTCCCCGCAAATCTTCATCGCATAGTTAATAGTAGTCACAAGGTCTGGATGTTCTCCTTCAATCACCCAAGCATTTCGTGCACTCCAATTAGCCCAACAAATGGTGAGAATATTTTCCACATCAGTTATCTCAAGCTCCTTGAAACAATAATCCCACCAGTCCATAACGCAACGAAATCTCAAATCAGCAACATCACTGTAAGGGGACTTATACCATATTTCCCGAGCTAATGCGCAATCTTTTCGCAATCTTTTAAGGCATGTATCACAGATTCCTCAGCACCATTACACACACCACACACTGAATCAAAATCCTTCAAACGCACACTCAACCCTTTTTTAGTAGGCAAAGCTTCGTGGCAGGCTCTCCACAAAAATACCTTTGTCCTAGGAAGCACTCGGACAGCCCATATCTTCTTCCAAATTCCCAGAGACGAGGTAGCAGCCACCTCATTCATCTTCCAGTCGTCATCAAATAGAGCTCTATACGCTGATCTAACAGAATATACTCCACTCTTCTCTAAGTCCCAGCATAACTTATCTTCTGGAAGGCGATTACTCAAAGGAATATTCAGAATTCTTTGCTGCTCAAACGGAAAAAAGACGCCAGCAATCACAGTCGGGTCCCAACACTTCTTCACAGGATCAATGAGATCACAGACCTCCAAATCAGAACTAACATTCCCCCTAGGAGATAAAACTCTAAGAGTTTGAGTGTTAGGAATCCAAGGATCATCCCACACTCTAATCTTTTCATCATTTCCGACTCTCCATCTCATGCCCCTTCTAAGGACCCAACGAGCTTCCCAAATTCCTCTCCATGTATAACTAGGAGAAGTACCCAAATCTGCCTCCATAAAGCTCTTCGAAGGATAATACTTGCCTTTCAAAACTTGTTCAATCAAGCTACCCCGTTCCATAGCAAGTCTCCACGCTTGTTTCCCAAGTAAAGCCCAATTGAAAAGTTTAAAATCTCTAAAGCCCAACCCTCCTTCATTTTTCGGACGACATAATTTTTTCCAAGCGAGCCAATGTATCTTTCTCTCCCCTTGCTTTTGACCCCACCAAAACTGAGCAACCAAAGATCGGATTTCATCACAAAACGAGGATGGGAACTTGAACACACTCATCGCATAAGTAGGGAGAGATTGGGCCACCGCCTTTATCATAACCTCCCTACCCGCCTTAGATAGAACCATCCCCTTCCAACCTTGGAGCTTCTTCCACAACTTCTCCTTTACTCCTCTAGTAATCACTTTCTTCGACCACCCCACAATAGTTGTCAGCCCCAAATAGCGATCATGTACATCCACAAGCTTCACACCCAAACTTTCCGCTAAAGCAAACCTCCTGTTTTGAGTCACACCCTTACTAAAAGACACCGTAGTTTTGTCAAAATTGACCTTTTGCCCGGACGACCTCTCATAAAGCTCAAGCACCCCTTTAATGGCAGCCACATCTTGTTCCGCAGCTCTAGTAAATATAATGCAATCATCGGCGAAAAGAAAATGATTAATAGAGGGGGCAGACGGGGCAATTCGAATCCCTCCAAGGCTGCCACTTTCTTCGGCTCTTCGCAAGAAGTGTGAGAAAACTTCCGCACATAAAATAAAGAGGTAGGGTGAGATTGGGTCTCCTTGACGGATGCCCCTAGACGGAACAAAATCATCCGTTGGTATACCATTAACTAGAACAGAAAACGACACCGACCTCACACAATTCATGACCCTATCACGCCATTTATACTCAAAACCAAATTTATCTAGAGCGGCATCAAGAAAATCCCACTCAATTCTGTCATATGCTTTAGACATGTCTAACTTCATAGCCATACTTCCCTCAACATGCGTCGAATTTTTCATATAATGGAAAAGCTCAAAAGCCACAAGAATGTTATCCGTAATCAATCTCCCCGGTGTAAAGGCACTTTGATTGACAGAAATAATTTTGTCAAAGAACAACTTCAATCTATTTTCCAACACTTTCGACACAAGCTTGTAAATTACATTGCACAAAGAGATTGGTCTAAAATTCAACATACAGTTTGCATCCTTTTTTTGCGGAATGAGAGCTATAAACGTTTTGTTTAAAAATGCAGGGATCGACATACCTCTCAAGATGGCTAAGACAGTATTCCTAACTGATGGGCCGACAATACTCCAGTAAGATTGGAAAAATAATGGGCACATTCCATCCGGACCTGGCGCTTTGATCGGATGCATCTGGCTCAAAGCAATTTTAACTTCCTCCTCCCTGTACTCGGCACTCAACATTGCATTCATGTCATTGGTAACCCGAGCTTGAAAATCGTGCAAGGCTTGTTCAATAAATTCGGGGTTGGAAGAAGCAAACATATTCTGAAAATAGCTCACTGCTATCTCACTTTTAGACACCTCATCTGATCGTAGTTCGCCCCTCTCATTCATCAGCCCTCTAATAGTGTTCCTACCTTTGCGTGCCGAAGCGCGTTGATGGAAGAACTTTGTGTTTTTATCCCCTGCTTCCAACCAGAGTACCCTTGACCTTTGTTTCCAATAGATTTCTTCGTGTTGGACAAGGTTAGAGATGTCTCGAATGAGCTTTTTCCTCTGTTGCAATTGAGCTGTTGTGAGACGACCCTTGTTCAAGGAGCGAAGTAACTTCCTCTTTTTAGCCAGCTCCTTGAACGTAGCCCCAAACTTCTTAGTACTCCAATCTGTCAGCTCACTAGCACACATTGTTAGCTTGGTTTCGAGGCTAAAACCCCCCATCCAAGCGTTCTCTATCACACTTTCACAAGACTCATCTGCCTGCCACATCTGCTCGAATCTAAACGGCTTCCCCTTAGCATCCTTCGACAATTTATTATTCAAGACAAGTTTTATGGGGGCATGGTCGGACCAATCTCTGTCAAGATTAAATAAATGGGCAACGGGAAAGCAGCTCAACCAACTATCAATAGCAAGGGCCCTATCAAGTCGGCATTGGATATTCTCCCCTTCCTCTCTCCCATTATCATAGGTGAATTCATACCCCGAAAATGGAATATTCACAAGCCCACAAAAATTAACCGCCCTTCTAAACCCTTCCATTTGCCAATCTGCTCTGTCATTTCCTCCCGCCTTTTCTGACAAACACAAAATTTCATTAAAGTCACCTAAACACACCCAAGGAAGTTGGGATTGTGCCGACAACGAACTCTATAATAAGCTTCCAAGAAAGATGCCTATTATGAACCTCCGGCCACCTAAAAAAACCCGTCAATCTCCAAACACCCTCACCCAAACCATCTCGAATTTCAACATCTATATGATGCATCGACATAGTTCGAAGCACCACATTCACTCCTTTCCTCCATAACAAAGCCAAACCCCCCGACCTCCCCATCGAGTCCACCGCAATCCCTTCAAAATCACCAATCCTTTTACTCACCTTATAAAATTCCCCTGAGCTCAACTTCGTCTCTGATAGAAAAATCACAGACGGGGCTTCTCTCCGAATAAGGTCTCGGAGACCACTAACTGCAGAGGGGTTGCCCAACCCTCTACAGTTGAGACTTAAAACACGCATTGAGCTTGGCGGGGTAGCTCATCTGCTACCTCCGCCAACCACAATCCATCTTTAGTTGTCACAACCATACTTCTTTTTGATACACTTCTCCCCTCCACATCAACCTCCCCACCCTCCCTATTTCTTTTCCCTAGCAACACTTCCCCTTCATAATCCATCCTACTCTCATCAACCACACCTTTCTCCTTACTCCCCCTTTTTATTAATTTTTTGACACCCACCTTCGAAGCCTTGAGCCCATTACCAGCAGTAAAGACAATAGATGGCTGCCCACTCCCACCTGCCTTCCCCACTTCCCCTTCTACCTGATCAGAGCCCACTGTATTGACAACAAAAGATCCCCCTTTCAATCCTTTGATTTCAGCCTTCTTACACTGTTTCACATACCCCTCCTCGATACTCAACACGGGGACATCCACCACATCCCGTTATTTCCTCTCCACCTCTCCTTCTTCCTCCCCTTTTGTAATGAATAGTTGCTTTCTCGCCTTCAACACACCATCGAGCTCCTCCACTTCCTTTATCCTTCCACGTCTCAGAGATGCTTTATTCCATCTTCCCCACCCCAAATTCTTCTTTTTATTCTCCTTCGATACCACATTGCAGTCACGTTCCGAATGGCCTATAACCCCACAAGCAAAACAAAAGAATGGGAGTCTCTCATAAGCATACTCTATCATTACTTCCCTTCCCCCCTTAGCACGAATTCTCTGGCACCTGCGCAAGGGTTTCGATACATCAAGCATTATCTTCACACGTCGAAATCTATCAAGCCCCAACAAATCTTCTTCAATCTCCACAATTTCACCCATATTAGCCACAATTTCTTTCACATAATTGTCGGATCGACAATTAAACGGAAGATTTTTTATCCTTACCCAAAAAGGTGAATGCATCAACGAAACCTGTTCAGGTTGCTCCTCTCCTACAACCTCTTTGAGCACTAGTTACATGTTATCAAAACACCAGGGTCTACCACTGAGAACCTTCTCCTTATCCCTCCAATGAAAGAACTAGAAAGCATACAGATTCGGTCCAAGAACCCTAATAACAAGTTTATCCGATAAAGACCAAGCCTTCGTCATAGTTGTTTTAAAAGCCTCAACATTATAAGGTCATTCGGTAACGATTCTCCCTATTAGCATTAGGTTAAATCGTTCATTGCTAGAAGAGTTAGAGGATTCCACAACACTTAGATCCACCAAATCCCCTTCATTTTCAGTGAGTCGCAAATTCGCATATCTGGAAACAATGTCGTTCGCCATAATCACCACCAAAACCGCCAGAAACGATAGTGCAAGCCTTCGAAACGGCAGGAAAACCCTAGGAGACTAGAGAGAGCGCACCCTTTCTTTCGAGGGAGTTTTCAAGTTTACTTAATGGGGTGTAATCTACATTACAAACTATTAAGTTTGGTGCAGAAAATGTCATAAATGACATCAAAAATAGTTTTTTTTTTTTTTTTTTTTTTTTTTTTTTTTAAATATTTTTTTTTACCAATTCTCACCCCCCTTTTTTTCCCCTAAATTATTTAGTTACTTTATAATACCTAGCATGTGCTCCCGAATTACTTTTCTTTAACATATTTTATATTCATGATGAATTGCAATAAATGG